AAAAAAAAGGAGTTGTGAGTTGAGTCTGAGTCATTGGGGGAAAAGAACCCTGAGTCAAATCACTGGTGCGACTTAAGTCCAACTTGACAGCAAGCCCTGCATTATGCCTATGGAATAATATAACAACTTATTACGCTGGAAAAGGGAATAATAAACATAGAGATGTATAAATTTCACATGTTGATTTGTTACATTTAAAAACAAAAAAAAATAATCATATATATATATGGGGGGGGCAGGCAATGCGAGGGCCACAAACATCTTCCCTTCTTCCCTTGAAGAAGGGAAGATATATATTTAGATGGGTACCATGGTTGCCATGTGTATATTTGGGCTCTGCACAGAAATATTATAGAGGGTAGCTCTTGAATTTCATGAAACATATACATTCAAACAGGCTTTCAAGCTATGATCTCAATGTCAAGTTCTTTGATCGGAGTGACTGAAATGTTCTCCAACTGCTTTCTGGTTTGTTTAAAAACATGTGATTTTTGCCCCTATTCTTAAATGGAGTTTTAAGACCTGTTTAGGTGTCTCTCAGCCATCCAATTTCACTCATTCCCCACTGTGGTTGTTTCTGCCACATGAAAAGGGATGCATCTGCTGAGGAAAAAAAAATCATGCTCACAGGTAGACTCTCCAAATAAGCAAGAAGCTCAGTTTCCCAAGGTTCTTGCTCAGGTCTTCTTCCATGAGCAGGAACCTCTGTTCTGCAGAACCTTCAGTCTCCTTGCAGATAACGATGGTGGAGAGTGAAGATGCGGGCCACTCTCCAGCTGGTGTAATGGACAGGAATGCAGATAGGGAGGATATAAAAACCAGATGGGCACCACAGGCAGGTTGTGTCACATATCATGTCAAAGAAAAGTTGAGCAACTGATGGGTTCATACTCCAATGTATCCTCACCTGCCAACAGTGCTCTTCTGCCCTTCTCTAAGCAAAAGTGTAAATAAATATACATACAGTGGTGCCTCACATAGCGATTGCTTCGTATAACGATGAAATCGCGTTGCAATGAAGATTTTGCGATCGATTTTGCGATCGCTTTCCGATGTTCCCTATGGGGGAATTTCGCTTCGCGATGATCGGTTCCCTGCTTGGGGAACGGATCATGGCAAAGCAATGCTTTTTAAACAGCTGATTGGCGCCTCGGGAGGAGGGAGGGAAGGAGGGGTGAAGGGCCTGGCCCCAATCCCCGTGCACACCCCTGGAGCGCTGAGCCAGAGAGCAGTTGCGGTGGGAGGCGCTGCAAAGGAGGAGGCGCCTGCCAGGGACCAGGATCAGGGCAGCAGCGGCTGGACGGGGGCACGCGACAGAGACCCCCTCCTCGCCCCATCTGCGCCCCACCAAAGGAGATCGGGTGTCCGGGGTTGGCTGGCTGGCGGTGGGTGGTGCGCCCCTTCCCACCCCGGGCAGCTGCCTGCCTCTGAGCCTGCCGCTCACTGTCCAAGGAGACTGGGTGTCTCCCAGGCTGGCTGACTGGCAAGTGGTGGGTGGCTGGCGTGCCCCTTCCCACCCCGGGCGGCTGCCTGCGAGCCCTCACTCACAGGAGAAAGACCCTCTGGCCCACCCGTCTGCGCCCCGGAACAGCCCCGCCAAGGAGGTTGGGCGTCGTCTGGGGCTGGGTGGCTGGCTGGCAGTGCTTTGCCATGATCGGTTCCCTGCTTGGGGAACCGATCATCGCAAAGCAATGCTTTTTTAACAACTGATTGGCGGTTTCAAAATGGCCACCCGCTGTTTTCTGGGACGGATTCTTCACTTAGTGCAGCGAAAATGGCCGTGCTATGCAGGATCTTCGCTGAACAGTGAATTTGAAGCCCATAGGAACGCATTAATCGCGTTTTAATGCATTTCTATGGGCTTTTTTGTTCTGCATAGCGACAAATCCGTATAGCGACGATTTTTCTGGAACGGATTATCGGCGCTATGCGGGGCACCACTGTACAATGCCCAACATAGAGATCTTTTTAAATCTGATCTGATGATGTGGTTGTAATCCATTAAAATCTGCCACAAAGCCTAAATCCCTGTTGGCATGAATTGAAGACATACAAATTCAATGATACCACCATCCAGTGATGGATATCTTTCATCTTTGGGAGGAAAGATACCCAACTTGCCACGGGAAGTGGGATGGGGGTAGCCTTGAATATTGGAAGATCACCATCAAATTGCTGCTGGCAATACTGATCTGGCAGCAAGACTGCCAGCAGAAATTTCCTGATATTAAAAGCTGCACCATCTCCCACCCCAGGGGCAAAGAGGTTCCCTAGGGAGCCTCTGAACCTGAAGAGTTAAATAAGAAGTTTTTATTTTAAATATGTTAAAGGTATCTCTTGTCAGATGATATCACTTGGCTTGTGTGGCATAAGTTTCCACCAACAGGACTTCAGCCAATCATTCTGTTAGGCCTACGTCCAGAAATGTGCTGGCAGATGCCCACTAGCACTTTCTGCTCTTCCCACGTCAGCCCTCTTTGTCACTTGAAGCCTAGGGATGAATGGTGGGCCACATCAAGAAAGGGGTGGTGGTGGTCCTTCCTCATGGCTCCACTGACAGAAGCAGTTCCACCAGTGGTTATATGTCTTCAGACTGTGTGTGCTCAATATCTATGCGTAAAGATCTTCTAGATGTCCAGATAAAAATCACTCAAGAAAATAAATACAACAGTGTTTTTCAAAACCTACCTGATTTAAATACATTGGCTGAAATCCAACTGAGTATTTGAGCGGGATAACGACAATTCCTTTCTTTCGCCAGTAATTGTGTTTATTAAATTCTTCTACTTCCATCTTCCTTTTGTGAAAACATGACTTCTGCATGCATTCATTCCAACATCTAATTAAGTTCCCTGGGTCTACTTCCTGTTTGTAATGTGTTTCGTCAAACGTTTTGTACATGTTTCTCTCTCTTACCTGCAGAGAGACAGGGAATAATTCCATACAAAAGAAGCATCTTTAGAACTAATTGTATAAATATTAAATAGTTTAAAGCCAGTTCACTCGTTATCATATGCAACTCCTTCATTAATAGGAATTGTCTGTTTATGTCACTAATATTCACATGTGGGCTTGTAGGTCTTTTCAGGCAGAGCAGAAACATTCTGTGATCTCAGAAGGATATTTTAACAGCCCAGACAATTGCAAATATTGCTGTGGCTGAGATCTAAGAGCCACTCCTTCGCATGATGCATTGGTCAACATTCTCTTAGAATAAAGTTACACCACAGAGCAGGATGACACAATCATCTACTACCAGCAACATTTAATTGAATTGAAAGCTTCCTGTCTCACCCACCAGGTTCCAAGACTCCCTAGGGCTCCTTTCTGACTTGGCCTTTGGGATCCTCAGTAGGGGGCAGGAAGAGACTTAAATAACCAAAACTCACTGCCAGAAGGCTGCCAGGAATCCCCATCATACAACAGTGATTCTCCTTGTCCCAGGACTCCTTCTGAACTCAAAGAGATAGGAAGCTTTCAGTTCATTTAAATTAAATATTACCAGTGCCGGATGATGATACCATCCAACTCTGAGTTGTAACTTTACACCAACAGGATTTTGCCCACTGTATCAAGTGAATTATTCTTACAGGTGAAAAAAAGAGTGCCAATATAGTGTGTGAATTATCTCTGAGAGAAAGATGGATCTCCTTGTTGAATTTTGCTATTTAAGCAGTAATTCTGCTTTGGGTTTTAAACAGGTATAGTCCCGTTTTGTTACCTCCTCTTGTGGTAAATCTGTTTTGATTGCTACATCTGTTATCACTGTCTCTGTAACAAGAGCTGATTGAGGAAAACCAAATCCTCTGAATGCTGTATTAGATGGTAAATTCGTCTTGCAGACCCATCCTTGGCATAGTAGATTGGGTATTTTATAAGCATTATCCATTCGTAGCAATGCATTCTCCATTACCTTTAAGAAAGCAAAAACATGGATTTAGTTAGTTTTCCGAATGTGTTTATTTATACAAGTCTGACTAGAGAACAAATGTGCAAATCTACTAGCACAAGATGCTTTTCCTCAGAGAAGACTCTACATATGACTTGAATAATTCAGGGCTTTGAGCTAAGAAACCACCAGATCATCCAGCAGCTTTCCCAAGAATGGAAGATTAGATAATGGGCAGTAAATCCAAATACTGGTCTGTTTAGTACAGATTTTGTTATTGCTTACTTCAGGGTAGCAGGGATCATGTTGTCCTTCAAAAAATATTAACCACCTCTGACCATCCATATCTCAACACCCAGGATGGACGAAGATTGGAGAACATATGGTAGGCTTCAAACCTCCAAGCAGCTTCTCTGAGAGAGAGAGCTGCACTCTAACTTAGACTGCACCCTGGCTCCGTCTGTATCAGATATTGTCAAAACCTACGTCATCTAATTCAGAATGCACATGTGCAATTATAATTGCAAAAGGTACAGGAAATTTACTGTAGCAAAACTATGAATTTGGTGGTTTAGAAATTATGGCTTCCCAATTTTATAAAAACGACAGCGCATACCGCAATAGATTCATCTGGTGTACATCCAGCGTTACTGTAGTACTCCACACTCAGGGCCACAATTGTTCCATCGTTCATAAATCCAACCTACAAAAAGGTTTACAGTTACATCATCAGTTATTTGAACAGAAAGGCTGCTTCTGCATGCCTCTGTTTGTGAAGCCTTTGCAAAACAAAATATTTATTCAGTGTTCTTTGCATTTATGCACATAAAACAGAGGTTCAGTTCAGATACCATTCTGAATGATGGAAGCATCAATATAGTTTGTGTCATGATGATGGGATATGTAGTCATAGACGATGGAAGCATCAATATGGTTTGTGTCATGATGAGGGGATATGTAGTCAGAGAAATGTAAGGTGGAGTCAGACAGGTTCTGTGTGAAGATGATCTGAGAGACATCGGAATGTGTTTTTCTAAGTGCTTTGAGAATGCTTTTCTGAAGATCGGTATAGCATGGTTCGAGATAGAGCTGAAGGTCGAATCAAGAGGCCTGTGGAAGACTCAACACTTCGAGCTAATTGGAGAAGAGATAAAACACCTGGACTTTCATGGGAATTAAGGGAGGAGGAAGGTGTTACAGCCCTTAAGGCTAATTGGTTAACAGCCAGAATTGTCAAGAAGAAGGGAGGAGTTAGAGAATGTAGAAAAATGGATGATGGGTTATGTGTGAGAGAGGAGATCCAGTCTTGTTCTGGGATTCGATTCCATGATGATGGGAGAAAGAACTTGATGGTTTGAGTATGTGGCTTGAAGGAGGAAGAATGTAAGTGGAGAGAAAGAAAGAGGTGGGGCTAGCCCACCTTACCCCAGTTTAGTAGTGTTTATTATTTTAATGGGGATTAGTTATTTTATTTAACTGTAATAATCTTTGAATTCGTTCCTTATGCTAAAGCTTGAGCAATATAAACTGATTCTATGAAACTCTATTTTTCTAATAAAAATTAATTATACAAATTCTTACACAAGGACTAGTCTCTTGAACAACAGGGTCTGGCTAAATCTAGGAGGTGGAGTGGGTCACAAACTAGCTATCTTTAAGAGTCCTACCTAAATGAGCTGCTGTGAGTTCTAAGGAATCACAAAGCCCATGTGTCTGTACTTGGAAAGTACTGGGTACAAGTAAAGCATTCTTTTAAGGTCAGACCTGTTCAAAGGGCTTACACTACGCACTGCTGAGGTCTTAGGACTTGCCCCAGTGCAAAGGTGGTGGGTAAGTGGCCTGTCAAACTCTCTAACTGAATGCTAAGCGCTCCTTAGGGAGGCTTGGGCATCACAGTTTGGAGTGATACACACTCCATGTGTGTAAACGATGGCTTGCAATCAGTTGGAAAAATCAGAAAGATCAGCAGCATTCATGCGTTCTAATCACTGCTCCTCTGAGCCCTGTGTGCTTAAGCTCTTTTGCTGATCCCAATTTCCACTCTTTCCTGCCTGGCTTAACAGAGTACAGTACTCTGAATTTAATCCAACCACTTTGCTTTGGCATCCATATTTCTGTAATGCCTGGGGCCCAACCACACCTGCAAACTGCAGCTTTTAGCTGTAGCACAAAGTGAGAGACTTCCATTGGTTAGCTAGCATATTGCCTGGACTTTGCATTCTCACATTTTCTTTTCTTTTCCTTCTTTCAAAAAACTTGGTCATCCTACTAAGATAAAGTCTGTACATGTGCACTTGCTATCAGATGAATGCCTGTTGGCTTGTATGGGATTTGTTTTGAGTAGTGAGGCCAGAATTTCACTTCAGGAAGTATGGGATGACAAATAACATTGCTGCTGCAACCTGTTACTTTGGTAGTAATTAAGAGCATAACAATGGCCATTTTGCAAATAATGACCTTTGGGGATCCCCCCCCCCCCCTTTTTAAAATTACCTTTCTAAACTCTGCTTTACTCACTTTGTATCTTCCAAGGAAAGGATGTCTGCCCCCAGTTATTAACATATCGTCTGCTCGGTCCAGAACGCAACGGACTGCACGGCCAGTTCTGAAATTAACCATCAATGTCATCAATGACTGAAATAGGCTGCAGGGGTGAACAGAGGTGCTGCTTCTCAACCTGAGGAATTCTCCTGCTACTTGAAACATCCAATGCCTGCTCATTTCTCCCCCAATGGTTTAGGCAAATTAAGTTGTTCTCATTACCAATATGGGGACAGGAGGGTCATTGGATGTTGTTAGACCGCCACTCCCATCAACCCTAGCCAGCATGGCTGGGGATGAGGGATAATAAATATCTGAATGGGCACACTTTCCTCATCCCTGTGCTGGTGTGGATAGGGAGAATGGAAGGAGACATTTGTCTTGTGCTCTTTGTCAGAGAAAAGCTTTCTCTGGCTGGGAAAGGTGGCAGAGGTTCTCTTCTTGTCAGCAGAATTGTTCATTTTCTTTCTAAATGAAAACATCTGTACTGAAAGTCAGTAACCAAAAGGGAGGCAGACAATAGCTGTTTAATCAGCTGAAATCTGTTGGAGAGAGATTCCCCTTCCCATTGTGCACAAACATTTCTTTTGTCTTACTGGAGCAGGCTGGTCAAACAGGTTCTACAAAACCCAGTGGACCCACAGCTGACACAGTAGAGGATAAACCTCAAACAGAAATCTTTCTTTCTGATCCACTTTAGCTCACAAGAAACCAAAGAAAACCCTTCCCAAGGAATGGAGGAAACAAGGTTTGAATGCAATGGCCCTTCCTAAATGCTGCTGAACCCGTTCTAAACGAGGGTGTGGTTACAGATTGAGAAACGTCCTGGTTTGCATCAGGTTTAGTATGCCCGGAATCAATTTCAAAATATTGATTTACAAAATGTACAGCCGAGCCACAGGAATCGTTGCTTTTCTCCCAGAAAGGGAAGTATTTTAAACAGTTTGGAGGAGGTTGTTCATTTTAACTGGATTGTGGACCCAATTTAGCTTGAATCATTTTGCCATGTGTACTTTCCTGTGTCACAGTAAATTGTATCCCAGTACGTTTGTGAAGCCTATAGATGTAGTTGAAGCAGCGGGAAAAGAGGAAGATAAAAAACAGAGAGAGATGGATTTATTCCTTAAGGAAACCACAAGCTTGCATTTGCAAGAGCTGAACAGGACTGTTGAGGATGAGGCATAAGTTGGAGGTGACTGATCAGCATGTAACAACAACAGGCGTTGTGTGTTTCAACCACACACTTACTTGTTTGCTGCCACAGCAGTGACAGCAGCCAGAATGGCAGCTTTGGTTATTTTACCTCCGAACCCACCACCAACTCGCTTTACATGACACATAATCCTATTTGATGGAATATTTAATACTGAGGCCACTAGTTCCTGTAAAACAATAAAATATACAGAGAGATATTTCACATACCAACACTTTGGATTGTGCGTGTGATTGAGAGAGGGAGGGGGACAGTAGCAAAGCCACTCCTTATACATCTCACATCTTTCTAGAGAGAGCTTAAATCCCTGGCTTTGGATGCAAATGCATCACCTCTATTTACTCATAGACATTTTCAAAAGCTCTGGTGATCATCAAGGTATAGATAAGAGCATGCATCAAAATCCATATCTCCATATGTATACAAAGAAAAAAACATTATGCTTATAGGTCTCTGTTTAGTCAGGCTATATCACTGTAGAAATATATGATTTTACATAAAAGATGTCATGAAAACCCATATAAGCACCCCAACAATGATGAGGGTCATTATCTTAATAGTCTTGGGAAGCAATTTGTAGAGAGCTGGTAGATGCATCAGACCATCTGTTATGCTAAAAGCTTCTTGGCTCAGGAATTCATGGCCAGGGGACTAGATCCAATTGTTAGACCCAAGCTAAGTAAATAAACTGCATCAACTGGATTTGTACGGGTGTTGACCTAAAATATCCCATTCATTCAATAGGCCTAGTCTTGTTGGGCACTGAATTAAGTACTTAGGATAAGGCTAGGAGGGGAAAGAGAAAATAATAAGTGGCATCTGGCCCTCCATCATTCATTCAAACAGCTGAGGGCTCTGTGGAGTCCTTTAACACCCCTGAGAGCTGAACTCCAGGGAGAAACGTATTTCACAGAGTACCATGAATCAGGAGGAGCTGTGTGGATGGTTTTAGGCATAATTCCCTTGGTCCAAACTATTTTTGTCCTGCTGTTGTCTTTGGTCAAACACATTTTCAGAAACACCTTAGGCCCTCCCCAGCCTCTTTTTCAGAAGCATTAAACAGAAGGATATAGACTTGTATGCTTTTCCCATACTGAATATATAGTATAGATACTCCTGTATTTATACCTTGGTATGCTGAAAAACAAAAACAGAACACTGTCACCTGCCAATATTCCTCTAAACAAGTTATTCATTTTGATTTAGTTTTCATAGACAGCAGGAAAGGTAGGAAATCTTGGTCTAAATGGTTCTGCTTCAGATGACAGGCAGGAAGTTTCTTCCTGGGGACAAGGGAAACCCTGTACATTTACACATTATTATATCACACTTAATATTATACATTCACTGTTACCTGAGTAAAAGCTGGATGCTGTGAAGACACATAAATATCTATTTCTTTATCCTCTCCCTTTGGAATAACAAGCACACTTTGAGTTTCCATGTAAAAATGCTCCTGTCCCCCGATGTGAACCCTGCCTGTTTCAAAATGTAAATCAAAGAGAAAATACATCTGTGAAATTTAGAATAGGAACCAGAGAATGACGAAATATTACAGATTGGGCAAAATCCTATTTCTTAGTGTAGTTAATTGCACTGGAGCAGGTCACAGAAACAATGGGGATTTAATGAGAACTCTTTTGATTCCAATTACCCTTCTCTACATGCAACTTAACATGATAAATTAAGTCACAGTTATAGTACAGTCATTTGAATCAATCGAACTGTCAGAGGAATTGACTCACCAAATTTCCATTGATTCAAATGGGCCTACTTGAGTTTGATTTACTACATTAAGATTTGGATCATTATCAAGACTAGATTTTGTCAAAAGAACCAACATTCTGCTAGTTTCCCAAATAATCGAAGCCAATAGGATCAAGGCTGCACAACTCAAACTAGCACTTGGAAATGTTCCCTTTTTGGGACTTCAGTTCCACAAATCACCCAGCCAGCCCATGGGCTATGCTGACTGGGGGATGCTGGGAGCTGTCGTTATAAAAAAAGAACACTTCCTAACTGTGGTCCAAACAGCCTGGACAGCCATTCTTTAGGACAGATGACTGTGCTTCCCAGCATAAACTCTGGGCTGCCAGAAAACCTGCTGGGACAACCAGGGTAAATGCTAAGAGCTGAGAAAGAAGTCCTGCTTTGTGGCATCCAGCATCAGTGCAGAACATGCTGGCTTGTAGAGATGGGCACTGTGACGGACAGGCCAGGAACCACTCCTGTCCATCACAATGGAACCCTGATTCAGGAGCCAATGGTTGTACAGAAAAGGTGGGACTAGGGATATATAAGAGAATGGATGAGCAGTTAGAGAAGATAAAGAGCAGTTAGTTAGAGAAGATTTCAGTTTGGAGTTAGGTGAGTCCTTGTTAGAGATATCAGTTAGAGAGAAGCAATTTAGGCAGGCCAGGAACCACTCCTGTCCATCACAATGGAACCCTGATTCAGGAGCCAATGGTTGTACAGAAAAGGTGGGACTAGGGATATATAAGAGAATGGATGAGCAGTTAGAGAAGATAAAGAGCAGTTAGTTAGAGAAGATTTCAGTTTGGAGTTAGGTGAGTCCTTGTTAGAGATATCAGTTAGAGAGAAGCAATTTAGGCAGTTAGGAACTTGAGTCCTTGTTAGAGGTGTCAGTTAGAGAGAAGCAATTTATGCAGTTAGGAACAGCCTGGTGTTTGAGAAAAATAAAGAGTGAGAGAACATGATAAGAAATGAATAAATATCTTGATAGAAATGATTATAAATAAACAAATATAAATGTTACCAAAGCACAATTTATTGAATGAATAAAATGAGACCATCCATGATTTACTTTATATGATTTACTTATAAACACTTTAATAAACATTGTTTAATTGAATCACACTGATTAAAGAGTCCTATTTGATATAGTGAGGAATATCTCCTCTGGTGGCAGTGGGAAAGGGTGAAAAGTAAATGCTGGGACTGGAAAATCTGGGTATCTGTAGACCAAGAGATACAAAGTAACAGATATAGGGAACAGGGAGGCTGAAGCCCAAAGATACAACATAGCGATCTTAAGTTGCCAAAAGAAAGCTACATAGTTTAAATCTCTAACACAGAAAAAAATAGGTAATTTTCAATTGAGGTTTGTGTATTGGAATTGGTGACAAAACAGCCTACCAATTTAATAATAAAAATAAACTGTTGGGTATGACTTCCAGGAGAGGGAAGAAGGCAGTTATGGAACTTGCTGAGAGTCAGACTTTATCTCAGGAAGGGGAAATTTCAGACCAAGAGGGCCAGGAATATGAGAGCCCAAGAGAACAGGAGGGTGCCTCAGGGACAGAAAACTCCATAGAGTTTATAAAATGGAAATTTGAAAAAGAACAGGAATTTCAGTTAAGAAGATTGCAACTGGAAATGAGAGAAAAGGCAGAGGCCAGAGAAAGGGAGATGGCCATGGCCATGGAACAACAAAAGATACAGCTACAGGCTGAGGTTCATAAGAGACAGCTGGAACTGGAAATGAGGGAAAAAGAGAGGCAACACTAACTAAAAATGAAACAATTACAATTACAAATCCAAAACTATAATAATAATAAATCCAATCCTGAGGGGAATCAATTAAAAACAACTGAAAATATAAAAGTAAGAAACTCAAATTGTGCTAAGGTTAAATTGGAGGGAAAGCTTGGGAAGATAGAAATACAAAACCCAGAGAATACCTCAAAGATCAACTGGCAGTTGGAAGCCATTTTAGAGAGAGACCCTCAGAGCAGTACCAACAGGGTGAAAGCTTTGAAGGGAAGGGAGACCAAACCCCATATAAAGAACAAATACATTTAAAAACTGGTTTTGGTG